GTACCAACCGACGATGGCGTTGAGCAACAGGATACCGCAGATGACACCGAAATCCACCCAATCCTGAAGACCAGCGGCGAGAAGAGCAGCGAGCTCCATGACTATGATGCGTTAGTTTTGCGCTAGGCCAAATTGTGCAGGGATGCTTACCGTATAGAATGGGACCAGTGAAGTAACCGATGAATTGCTTGAGAAGGTTGGTCTTCTCGGAAGAGATTTCGTTGAAGCCATAGCGCTTGCGACGCTGCTCGACATCGGCGGATGTCAAACCAGTGCGGAGCTCAGTGTTGAGGTCTGCGATGCGATGTTAGCAAATTTGTTTCCTCATCGTGTTGCTCATCTCGCATGCTGCAGAAGCGGGTAGTTTGGTGGAGCCGGTCTGCATGATTGGCTCCACCGAGGAGGCCGCTATCGCGTCGCTAGCAGGGAGCAGCTTGAGCGCGGACCAGGCCCGCGCCAGCCACCAGATGTCGGCCCTCGAGCTCAACAAAGGATGAATTGGCGAGGCAGGTGACGCGCCGCGGCGCATTGCTGCAAACGGATGCTGTGAGGGAGAGAGTGGTAAAACTTACAGTCGTCAGGGACAGCGCCGGCGTCCTGGATGGGAGTAGCGGCGGTGGGAGAACCCGACTTCCAGAACTGCCACCAGGCCTTCTTCTTCTGGGTCTGCTCGGCGTGCGGGTTGGTTCGGGTGTCGCGGTAGAAGAGGATGTACTTCTGGAGCGCCGTGTACTCGTCCATGCCCTCGAACTCGGTCATGGAGACGATGGACTTTTGCCGCTCAGCGGCGCTGGAGGCGCGGGGGCGCTCAACATCGTCGTTGGGCGCCATCTTGTCGAATTAAGGAATGCTGTTGCTCGTATGTATTATTATATCCGGTAACTCTAGGCACAGAGAAGGCTTTCCGAGGCGACTTGACGGTGAGGTTGAGTGTCAGGTCGAATGTGCTGTGCAAATGGGTAACTGCAAGCAGGGCCTTCTCTGTGAAGAAAGTGCAGAGGGTGCGGGAGAGGCTCTGGTTAAGTAGCGCGGCAGAAACTCACCCACGTATCAACCCAGGGAAAAACTCAGCAAGGACCGACCTTTGGCCGCTATGAGGGATTTATGATTGTCATAAAGCTAACCGCGGATGGAGCTTAGCTCGAGCCGAGAGTCCCGGGGGTGAATTTGTTGTGAGCGGCCCGTGCGCCAGCCGCTACATCATCGGCGCGCGACATGGCGCAGAGATTGGCCGTCGCAGCGCCCGGCCGAGCGTGATGCGCTGATGACGGAGTGCTTACTACAGTGCTGTACGGCTGCGACTGCGGTTGCTGTGTGCGCAGACTCTGGTACCTCGACGGGCACCAGCCGACAGCAATTGGGATGTCAGCAGCCGGCGTCGCGATTCGCAGCGCGGTTCATTGCTTCTCCACCAGCGGCAGCAGAGATTAAGCTGGAGATAGCGCGACAGTCCGCGACAAGCGTGCAGCGCTGCAGGGATCAGCTCCCATGACGTTTGGCAAGAGCGACCGGCAAACAGCTCCTCCACGCACCTTGCTCACTCCGGACGCACCAAGCTTCAGCACTCACACGCAGGAAAGCTTGAGTGCTTGGCGCGATCTCAGCCAGAGTACGAGGCATTTTCCCCCCGTACGAGAGAGCCGCGTATCCAGAGTGCCTCCCCACGCTGCCTGCGCGACTTTCCGACTTTCGCATTTGCACAATTTTCTTCTAGCGGCCTTCCAGACCCACGAACCAAGATATGCCACTTATCCCAACTCCCTCAACTGCAGCCGCCGCGCCATAATATCCGACTCCCCCCATGCAGCGCGCGCGACCAGCATGCCCAGATGAAGCAATTGTTTTCTGCCCCCCGCGTAATCGACCGCCGCCGCTTCTGCACAAAGGACCGCACTCCATGATTAAGCACGTGCCAAGCAGCTAAGGGGCGTCTCGGGGCCTGCCTCGAATCAGCCTTAGCTGTCTGCCACCCGACCATATCGGCCGAATCAGAGGCCCCCAGCCGCCCGGCGTCGCCTGGCCAACGGCTCCCAATTACACCCCATGTTATGGTCATACAATACATGCTATCTGCGACTCCACACGTCCCATGGCGCCGTTGCGATGCTACGCACACACGACGTTGCGCAGGGTCCTGTCTGTTGAATTTGGATCGCGACCGAGATGACTTGGCTGTCGTGAGGCTGCAGGCATGGATGCGCCAACGCGCCCCAGTTCTTTCCAGACCGAGGAAGGCCTTCCCAACATGGAAGCCGCGTCGGCGCGCCACGTGACGTCCTGCCTGTGGCTCGCTCTCGCCTCCCTTGGCTGCGCGACTGCCGATGCTTCGCCGGTACACCAGTGAGCCTCACCGCATTGCCTCAGCCTCCAGAACGAGTGCGGGAATAATCATCGCACCCACAAATATCACCCTCCGTCGCCGCTGCCGACACCAACCTCTCCATGTCTGCCCCGAGCCCTGAATCGCCAACCCCCACCGCCAATACCGCTGTCGGTCCGCGACCGTCACGCGCATTGCAACGCCATGTGCGTGTCATGTCGCCTGAAGACTTACCGGTCGAGATATGGCACATTATCATCATGTATATAGACGATCACTGTTTCGCCTGGTTCGTGCTGCGCCAGATATCTCCCTTTCTGGCTCATGTCGCGCAAGACGTCTTCGCGCGCATCGTCTCGCGTACCTGCAGTCTTCGCTTCGCTGGACAGACGCTATGGAACTTGCTGTAAGCCGCGTTTCACCCTGCGCTGCTCGGGAAACTTTCACTCACCATGCCAGTCCTCCTGATCTTCGCTGTGATACACAATCCCCATATCACACCTTCCGCGTGCAGTTGCCGTCGTTTCGCTTCCAGCCCTCGTCTTTTGTCCCCGCTAGCTCCAAGGCCAGACTTGTTCTGAAACTATCTTCACCGGCAACTGTGAACGACACGCCATCCTTGCGCCGGCCATATGCAGGGACGGTAGACCTGACGAGCCGCCTCACTCAGGTTTTCTTCCATCCCGGCGCTGTCGCAGACGCCGAACGCAACCGTTTGCTCAAGCAAGCCCACTTTGTGCTTTTTGATGACCAATTAAAGAGCGTCCGCCTGCCTTCACCAGCCATCGATGTTACCGCCCAGGAACTATCGCTTGACTGGCGCCAGCTCTGCGAGACCTTGATGCGCGACCAGTTCAAGTGTCGCTTTGGCTCCGGTGCGTCGGTCCCCTGGTGGAGAGAGTTTCCGTGACCGGTCCTGTATCACATACCAAGAGCCTACTTCACCATCGTCACGAGGCCATAACATGTTCTCCCGTCTGGGCAAGCGCACAAGTAATCTATGCTCGTTGCACCCCCAGATGGGTTTGATGGCCCGCCAAGTAGCAGATCAATTTTGCGTCAGCAACGGATCTGTGTAGATCGCCCTTGGCACTGGGAACACACACCCCCCGACGATCCAATGTGTCCGCCGTGCGCCTCTCCTCCTTCTCCGCCTGGGCATATTCCTTCATGCCTTCATGCCCGGGTCATTATCGTTCACCATCCGCACCTTACTTTAGACAAAGTATGCCCAGCTTCTCCAAGTGTTGCACTTGGGTGCGGCATTTCTGACATTGCCTTGGCTTCCCTCGCGGGACTATCCGAGCCGCGGACGTCCAAATTGGTCTTCCACGATATGATGCCGCTCAACCTCAATATCGTTCTTGATGAACACACACAACTGTCCATTCCGGCTACCATCCTTTACAATCCATTATAGTGGCCACCTCGACGTCGTCTTGGTGTCAGCGCGAGCCATCACCAGCAGAACCCCGTGACTAGTAGTGCAGTTACCCCAGAGTATACACAGTCCACCTCCGTGGGGAAGCCAAGCGTTCAGTAGTACATGTGTTGCTTCTCCTCTCCCAACAGTGTGTCAGCAGATTACATGTCTTTGTCCTCCGCTGCCAAGTAGCTCTGTGCGGACACACCAGCCTCGGCGGAGACCGTGTACCACACAGCATACATCTCCTGTCTGTGCAACACCTTGGCCACTTTGTCTTGTTACTTTTCTTAATTGGACTACATCATGTGTTACTTTGCGCTACTCTACTTCATCTCCCTTTATATTCTTGCGTGCGTTAGATTTCATTTGCGCCAAGTCTATAATCCTTCACTGTAGGATGCTGTGTTGTCACTGACGAACTTGGCTTAACATCAGACTATTGAGTACTTGCTGACTTCAGTAAAGGATTGCATGGAAATATGGGGGTTTCGACTTGGCTCTGCCATGAATGTGGCTGCTGGGACAAGACCATGTGTCAATCACAAGCATTGTGCCGTCTTATCCGCTATTCCTGCCAAGCATACCCGCTGCACCTAATCCACCTCTTACAGATCGGATGCTGAATGACAGAAATCTTCATATTGCAATGTAATGATGTAATGTGTCTCTTAGAGTTATCGGTGATATTCAGATACGCTGTATTGTGTTGTGCTATGCTATGCCATACCTTGTAGCGACCAGCGCACAACATAGTTTGTATTTTCTCTGATACCCGTGGAAAAGGGCACCAGGTAGATGTTGAATCTGAATTTTCTGATGTGAATATGCCGTGTCATCCGCGTCGTGGGGGGCATGTTGTTGGGGCAGGTGGTGCTGTTCGTCGCCTCGCTAGAACCACAATTTATTTTGCATCAGCAAACAGAACATTAATTCACCACACCACCAAATTTATCCAACACGCAGTCAAAAGATCGGAAATGGTCGAACAAGCCGTGAAAATTGGATTGCCGACTTTTCCAAGAAGCCCGACATCGCTGGGCAGGGTTAAAATAGATAGGGCTGAATTTTACGTTCATGTCAGCAGCTACCGGGTGCATCCTTATTCAACGCAGAAAAGGTTCACAACGGCGTGGCAATACCGCAACGTCAAAACGAAGTCCGCCCGAAAGACGAACGTTATTATTATGGTTCAATGACATGCTGTCACTCCAAGCAAAATATACGTTGCACCAATTTACCGCATCGCCACCTCTACTACACGACACCCGTCCTCATCGCCGCCATCGCACTCTGCATAGCCGTAACAACATGATTCGCAACAGGCGCATGAGCGTTCTGTCGGAAGAGAAAAATATACCTCACCATCACACTCGCCTCATCAGTAATAACATGAACACCGGTGGTAACGCTGTTACCCTGCCCAACGACCTCGCACCCAAGGATAACACGCATATTGGCCAGCGCACTGTTCTTCCACGTCGAGTAGACAGGCGCATAACTAAACGACGTCGCAGGATCTTCAGCCATATAAATACCTCTTCCATACACAGCGCCCGTGCGTTGGAGAGTCGTACCCGAGCAAACGATAAGGCCTTTAGCGAGGATTGCTGGGAGGCGGTCGAGTGATGTACCGTGAAATAGTACTGTAGTCTGCGTAGAAGGCCTCGGAAATTTTGCCATATATGCCGTTTCCAGTGCCGGACTCGCATTCGCCAGGACAAAATGATGCGTCCCCATAGGCAGATTCTTGATCCTACATAGACCGTTCGCTGTAGCTATATAGCCTCTATAGTGCGTACATGCCCATGAGATGAGCTTCTCAGCGTCGGCGTGGTATCTGGATAGGACAGTGGAGATGTGGACTGCGTCGCGGATGACGGACAGTTTGGGGAGACTATCGAGTATGGTTTTGACGGTGCTGATGGGGTGGATGGGACAGTTAGGGAGGAGCTCGGCTTTGTTGGCCATGGCGGCGCTGTAGACAGAGCTGAGAAGCATGTCGACGGCGAAGATGTCGGTGCGGATTTCGGGGATGCGGACGTCGAGGGGGAGGGCGTACCTGTTCCGGCGGTGGTTAGTGATTGTACTATTGACGCTTTCTGTTCGATGATGGCTTACCATAGCAGTTGACATGCGACAGTCCAACATGGTGTAGATCTCCGCAGTTGCGTGCTCCTCCCTTTGTGGCGGCAGCCGCAGGAGATGCATCTTTGCCCCATTTCTCCGATCATAGTCTGGACGAGGCCGTACAGCCCTCTTAACGATACGTTCCCCGCGCGAAGGTACCGATGGATATGCCTGTTCATCTGCCATACGAAGACGCTCTGCTTCGAGAAACACACATTACCGTGTGGTGCATTGGAAGTTGCAACACAGATCCACGGGAAATGTTGATCAGTCTCTATACCCTTGTCACTGTCGTAGTGCACACAGAACGCGGGTGGCTTACTCCCATACCGATCGATGGTTAGCCGTAAGAGAAGGTTGTTCGCTGTGCTCGGTACGCCCATTGCGCTTCGTTGTAGCTCAGTGTAGGAAGCGAGTGTGAAGCTCATCTCAATCTCGTCATCATCGATTAGTTCAACTAGATCGATGATGCCGGAAGGTAGTTCTTGTATTTCATCTTCCAGCAGATTGCTATCGGGTATATTGTACTCCTCGATCAGCAAGGCTGTCTGCAAGGGGTCTTTCGCTTTCAGTGTTCGCTTTAGCCCTTCGAGGCGTTCGGCTTCTTGCATGATCTCTGCTTCGATGCTATCCCAGAATTCTGTTGCTTTAGAGAGCGTGACTTGAGGGATGGTCTGCTTGTATACTTTCAACTTGAGTAGCTGAGCGAGGCGTTCGATGATCGTTTTCGTCTCTGCTGCTACGTCGTCGTCTTGGATCCAACCAGCAACCATGACCTCAGCCACAGCTAGTGGGATGTCGTATCTTCGCTTGGCAATTGTTTGAAGGGGTTTCTTCTTCTTTGGCGTCAATGAGTCTGGTTGCGTCATGATCTTGTACTGTTTGGACGCGCCGTCGTAGTAGACAACATCTCTCGAGACGATCCGAGAAAGAACAGCTTGCTCATGAGTAGGAAGACCAGGTATGTCCAGAAATCCACATCTCGCATCCCAAATCTCGTTGCAAGCTTCTATAGCCTCATATGGTGCGTCCAGTAGTTTAGATAAATACTCAATGACCTCGCGCATATCCGACATTCGACCGCGTACCCATATGACAATGTTTTGCATAATTCTCTCGGCTGAATTCCCTTCCGCTTTTTGGAGATGTGAAAGCATGGCCAGGTTCTGTTTCCTTTGTGGTTCGGTACCATAAGATAACATTTGACGTACTGCGAATGAACTGTCGGATACTTCTTCGAGCTTCGTTAAGGTGGGCCCGAACTTTGATAGTTGCGATACCCAAGTCAAAATCTGGGGCTGAAGTAGAGACGGTAACTCGTGTTTGTTGGTGCTATCGGCAATGATGTCGGCGAAGATCTTCTCCAGTGATTGCATGAAGGAGAGCCATGTCGCAGGATCCATGGTTTGGATCAGGTGGTCGATGATGGCAGTGCCCCATCGCGCTTCTTGCTTCTCACTTTGGTTTAGCCATCTTAGTAAGACCCCTCTCCAACATTTTTTGCAACCTTCCCGTGCTGCCAGGGTGTTCGTCAAAGCAATGATAGCTTGCCGTGAGTCGGTCTCCTGCACACGAACGATACGCACCATGTCTCGGACAAAAGAAGAAGATCGTCCCAAGCTGAGATCTACTGCGAGCTCATAGATACATTCGCACTTGTGTCCAGAAGGATTGTCGATATCTCTTGAAACCATTATAGCTAGCATGCGCCGGTCGACATCATCCACACTTTCTCCGGTATTCTCCCAGACTTCAAGGATATCACGCAATATTTGCTCGGTATTGTCGCAAGATACTTCGGCAGTAAGCAGGTGGTCGACACAGTGTTTCTCGATGATCTTTTCAAGTGCGTGCCGTGATTTTTGATCTTTCGCATCGGATGCGAATAAGAGGGATTCCGTCGAGGTATCAGGATTGAACCAGACGAACGTGTGCCTTGTCTGCAATTCGTTTTGATGTAGATTTTGGGCGGCGACGTATATCTCCTTGATCGATGTCATCCGTTTAGAGCTGGGCCATGCGCCGATATTCGCTCGGACAGCAGGCTTCAGTCGCGGGAATATATGTTCGGATGCTTTCACGGCCATGCAAAATGTGTGTAGCTCAAGTAGAAGGCGTAACCAAGCCGAAGTCTTCATCTGATTCTTTACGACAGATTGGCACTCGCGAAAGCACTCTCCAATCCCCTCGAATAGCCAATCTTGGAGGAAAAGCTCGCGAAAAATCGTCGCTTTTGGTGCGTCGAGGAGATGGAGGAGTTGTTGAAGAGCGTGGACATGGAGTCCGCCGATTTGCTCCTTCTCGGACCATAGTTCGCGAATGAAGGCATGGTTATCTTTCTCCGGTGTGCATGCAATCTCTAACGAAGCGTCGAAAAGATTCAAGCTGCTCTTCGTAATTGTTCCGCCGATGGTCAATGCTCGAAACAGATTGAAGAGGCTTTCGCCCTGGGGCAGTGAAGTGGAGACAGCATCCAACCTTACCACGAGTCTTTCTAGGATGGTCGCTAAACATGCTCTTGTGTGCTCAGGGACCTCGATGATCAGGCCGCGGTATTGTACCCAGTTCCTTTGTTCGCCATAGCCCGCTATCAAACCCTGACGTAAGGTATGCCTAGTACCTGTGATCATATCAGGTCCTTCCAGAGCCGCGACGTCGAGGATAGTCGACATATGAATGGTGTCTATCCTAGAGAAACGCGTGATACGATCAACATCCGGTCTCCAAGAGGCCCACATTCTCCAGGCCGGGAAGTGGTGGCGATCGAAGACAGTTTCTATATTGGTACAAGGTGAATTCGAAGACGACGATACATCCAGTTCCGTCATCCAGTCTACTGCTTTCTTAGCTGTTACCCAATTACATGTCAACCGGAAGCCATTCAGTAGCTCCGCATAATCTTTTATAGCTCGTCGTAAGAGCACCGCAAAGTTATGAAGATCGACGTCCGTATTCTGGGTTTTGTGATTCTCTAAGGCTCGCTTTACGCCCTTCAGATAGCAGCCGGCTGCACTGGCGCCGGTGGTCGCATAGGGTAAGAGTGTGCGTGCCCATTCTGCTTGCAGACGTGTTACTAAGGCAGGGTTCCCTTCATGCGCAGCGATCACGCTCTGTAGCCAAGTGTCGAGGCCCCAATAGCTTCCACACATAACGTTCGTTTCAGCTCGTAGTAATTGGCTCAGGCCCTCCACGGACATAGCATGAGCTACGGAAGCTATAGCGATATCTCTTGACGGGTGTGTCTGTACCAACATCGAAAGTCTCCTATCCGCCTCTTCTTGGCTGATCTTGCCTTTCTTCTTGAGATAGGTATCGGTGTGATTGCGGATGAAGCCCCATGGGAATCGACGATGTGAGGGGTGTAGTACCCCGGCAGTGGCCTCCACCTCCGCATGCCATTCTTGACTATGATCGGTCTTCTTGAAGATCGTCGTGCTCTTCAACGGAATGGCTCTTTTGGCCCATGACATATGGGAGCGTTTGCCGGTATCCTGCTCGACTGCAGTAGGAGGCATGACGGCGGTGGCCATGCTTGTCATACGTTTATGAGGAATGACCCTGCGCCAGGGGTGAGATGATAAAATGGATACAGATGGAACGGCTAGTTCGAGTCGCGTTACGAACGGTCGGTATTAAGAGAGTCGTGGGTATCGGTTACCGGCAACAAAGCACGAGAGCTTTCGAGCAAATTGCAGGGGTTGAATTTGGTACAATGGGGATTTGTACCAGAGTCGCGCTTTCCTTGGAAACGCACGAGGATAATGGGACCCAGAGTAGCATAGGGTTGGTAGTGTTCGAAGAGGTGTGGCCAATAGACCGTCGGCTGATGAGGGAGGAGGAACATCAAATCTTTGAGGCCCATAATGGATGTTACGGCAAAGATACATGGCTAGTCTGGTATAGCTCACATGTGATGGGTGGCCTTTTACTGCGCAGACTGAGACTTTGGGGCTGCGCACAAGGCTGAATAGGGTGGCTTATGCGGAAAGCACATTCACCGGCCCCCGAAACGGCTAGTGCGATTGCGACTGTGTAGGCTAACCATGGTACGAGACAGCGGTAAGCGAGGCGACGAAAATGGCAATCTAATGTAAGGAATGGTCAACGAAAGCTATCTGGCAAAGTTGATCGAGCAATCGGCGTATGAAAATGCCTTGTAGGATTGTGTGATCTAAGGATTCGTGACTACGGCGCCCGGAACCAGCCTGATTCAGCTGCAAATGTGCCTGAGGGTAGCAGACATTGTTGCAACCACTGACGACCCTTTGTGGATATTGTTACCTCTAGAACGCAATGGACTGCTAATGCGAAACGCATGGAGAGTCCCGATTTGAGACCATGAAGCTGCTACAAAATATCACATGATCGAACAATTACCTTCGTCGGTGTCGGCAGCGACACCACGATTCTTCCGCAGATGCGCAGCGGCTTGCCGAATGAAGTCGCCTGTCTTGTGAAAACACACAAGGTTTCCTTTCGCATCCTTCACTGCTTCGCCAATAGACCAGTCATAAGACTGTCCAGTGTGAGAGTCTGTGGCAGGACACTTGAGACCTTCGATCGCTTTTTGCTCAAGATCTGGTACTGCTCATATATTAGCCTGTTGGTCGTCGTTGTGCCGAAGGAAGACCTACGCGTTGCGACGTATAGAAGAAACTCGTCTACTGCTCTGCGGCTAGGAAGTGTATCGCTACTTTGATCTGCTAGCAAGATCGCTGAGAGTTTCTCCATTTGTATGATTGTTTCCGTCCGCACGCCCTTGGACATCTCGTGCTGCTCAACTCGCAGAGCTGCGAGAGACTTGCCTGTTGGATGGAGGAGAATCCCCTTGACATCTTTCGGAGTAAACATTTCTCTGCTAAGAGGATTGCGGAGTACACCGCCATTTGCCTGGATAGCCTGAACAAGTTCTAAGGTTGGCACAAAGTTAGTATGGGTCTCATCGTAGTCCGTACATGGAAGTCACATACCATCCATCGACCACGCATAGTTGTCCTCGGTCACATAGAAGTCCTCTCTGGCGATGTCCTTGATCTCATCTCCGAGCATGGTTTCGTCATTGACGTAGTTCCTTTCCAGATGCTCATGTTCGACGTGCATAAAACCAAGCTCGCAATGAAATTTGAGCGCATCCGGGAGCGTTGAATCGATGGCGCTCCGGCGTTTGACTAGAGTATCACGAATGGTATCGATACTTGCGCCCGAGGGTGTGCCATATGGCGCGCGCACCCATTGAATCATGGCTTCCAGATCTGCGATGACTAGGTTCGTAGCCTCTTTTGGTTTATCTCTGATGTTTCGCGCCACAGAACGAGCACTTGCTGGTGGGCGCATTCCACTGTAGACGGCCCCGTTACTCCCATCCGCCATGAGGTGGATCTTAGCGAGGTTCTTCGATTGGGGCAACCCGGCCTTCTTCTGGAGGGTCTGTAGACGCAGCAGATTCGCAAACACATGTGTTGCCTTGGCACGTATGTCACGATACCCAGTAACCAGGTTTCGTTGTTCATCGTTTAGGTCATCTACTGAATCGCCTAAGATGAAGTCCGACCGCTTGGATCCACGTTTCGATATTGGTTTCGTCGTGAATGGATAGTTCTTCAAGGGTTCGCCTCCGGACTGGGCAGAAGATGCCTGTATCCGATTGACTGCTTTCTTCGCGGGCGCTGGAGGCTCTGGTACTTTTTTGAGAATGTTTAAGAACCTAACAACGTCTAGGTCCGTGGGAGCTAAAGCTTGGAGCTTCTTGGCCTCATCTAATGCACCTTCCAGCCATTCATTACCGACTGCGATGTAATGTTCGATAAGTAGCTTCCTGGCTTCTATACCTGGGGGACTACGCGATATGCTTTCGTAGAGCTCTCCGATATAGATCATATCAGGGCCGGCTCCATGTGCTGCAACGCCTGATGTCGCGGCCATGACTGCTGGAGCACCGGTTGAATGAGGATACCGTGAATCCGAACGTCAATGATGGGCTGGATGTGAGTGCTGTAGGTGCCAGGGTGAGCCCGATCGCGCCTGCTTGTACCAGGTCGAAGCAATATGTCGGGTGGAATGTGTCTGATGACCTGTGCTCTGCTGGTCAGTGGGCTTGGTTAGTTGCAAGGAGAAATCAAAAGCTGGAAGCCTTAAGGCTGAACCAGAGCGGAATACGGCTCCCACTGCATGTGGTGACCGGTGATTGTCAAAGGCAGCGCTCGAGGTTGGCTGGCACTGCAGGTCCCAGTGGCTTAGCGCGACGCTAGTGTCCGCTATCCGCGACACTGCCCAGGTGCCTCGTGAATGCGGGTAAGATTACTACCCCACGAGAGGATATTTTTAAATGATTGTATTCAAGACAAGACCAGCGATGCAGTAGCCTCGCGGTTCTAAGATCCAAATCTAGGGTATCAAGCTCTCC